AAAAAAAAAAAAAAGAAAGAAAAAGAAAAACAGGAAAAGCATATTCTCCTCCCTCACAAGGCCAAGAGAACCAGATGAACAAAGGCTTCATTCACTGAGTCCAAGGACTTGAAAGCAGCTTGTCTGGTGTGGATGGAGCATAGGCTGTGGAGGTTAAATGAAACGCAAGGCTGACAAACTTGTCCTGTCATGTTGGAGAAAAAAAAAATCACTTTTTTGGGTGGCAGTATTTAAGCCATTTCTAAATTTTGGCAAATATGGGGACTTTAACCAGAGATGTAGTAATTCTAACAATTCCAATGGCTTTTCCTAAATTCCAGTAAATAAGGGCGATATCTCAGCCCTTACCTTCAGTGAAAGGGTGAGAAGGCAGGATGGCTTGTGTGTAGTTAGCCAGCTGCATGATGACTGAGAATCGGTGAGCTGGTTAAGCTTTAGAAAAAGGCTGCCCAGCTTTAGTAGTAAACTGAGGTTCTTAAATCCAGTGCCTACAGTGTTACGGTTTCTGTCCATCTACAATAAGAGCAAGTAGTTCTGGGCTGTATGGCTAACAACAATATACTTTTGTTAAACATGCATATACCAGTTTTGTGATATATCCTTAGATAAAGCATTTCATCTACCTCTTGACTATTGGACTTTGATTTCAGGTTTCATCTATATCAAAATGTTCTAGGCTGCAAGTAATTGATCCTGGTCCCATACTCTGTCTGGTTACAGAGCCAGAGGAGGAATCTTGTTTTTCAGAAAGCTCACATACCTGACATGGTGCCTGGTTTGACAGAGCACAGAGGTGTTTTACCCTCTTCGCCCCAAGGCTACCTCTCCAGATAGCCTTTTGATGTCTAATATCTTGAGGAGTCAGATGCCTTATTCCCTTAGTAAATCACATGTTGTATGTGACCTTCTGAAGTGGCTTTTTGTTTTGTTTTTGCTTGTATTTGCAACCCGAGGCTCAGAGCCCCAGCCAGCAGGGGAAAACCCAGCTTACTTGATAAGCAAAGCCATGGCAACACCACTTGAAGCTGACTCATTATGCAAGTCCTTGGCTGGCTCAGGAGGAACTGACTCTCAGCTCATTAAGTAATAAGATGTGTGCCTATTAGCCAATGTAAGTGCACATAGATTTTTAATATCATGTTCTGAATTGAAAAACCTTTTTCCCCCCATCAGAGATCCATCCTGCAAAGAAACCTAATGTAATTCGATCTACACCAAGCCTGCAAACCCCAACTACCAAGCGGATGCTAACAACTCCAAATCACACATCTCTGAGCATTCTGGGGAAAAGAAACTATAGTCATCACAATGGTCTGGATGGTATGTAAGCCCAGGAATTCTGGAGGCTGTTCTGACAGAGTGCCTCCACACTCAGACATGTGTCTGCCACATCCAAGAATATATTATAAATATGTTCTTGTGCTCCATGATTGAAGTATGTGGTTGAGGAATAAGGGGGAATATGGCCATATGCCACATTTTGCCAAGGGATAGTTCTCCATCCCATCAGGAGGTACCTATTTGCTCCCATCTCCTGTTAGGAGGCGTTTTTGGAGATGAAATCTGTATTTAGCAGATTGCTTCTGCTGGGTAATAATGTTCTTGTTGTGATGCGTACTCACTGCTCATTTAAGTTTTCTTGAGCAGAAGGGATTATTTTGCCTTATGTCTGAGACATCAGTGTTCTCTGGGGGTTCTTCAGTGTTCCATGGGTCATTCTGAATTTGGCATTTGTCACTTCTTTTACCTTATAAATGTTTTTAATTGCTCAAGAGTGCTACATGTCATGAAAGGAATTGCCTGGGTGATGTCCTAAATACAGAAATAATTATTTGCTTGAAATGGAAAAATAGAAATATCACCTCTTATCCAAAGTACTTCTCTTGGGCTTGGCCATATAATGACTCTCCAGGTGGAATTGAATTATCTTCCCATTTGGACTATAAACACAACCATAATAAATCATCCAGGCAGTATATATTGTTCATTTCAGTAGTTCTGGACTTTGAAACTGTCTTTATTGTTTAAATGTTGGCATTTATTTATGAATAAAACTCTCTCCAGGCTTTTCATGCCTCTGGAACTCTAAATTCCTTACGTGACAGTAAATTATTTATAATGAGGCCCCAGAGCAAGGATGTGGAATAAACCTTCTAATAATAATTTCCTATGGTTGTTTTTCTCCATTATGACTTTTGATGTTCACAATAATGTCAAAAATGTGTAAAACAGTGAGGGCGAGGAATTGAGTTTGCATTTATAGGTTATCAATGTGTTAAGATATGGTTTTCAATAATTTAACTACCCAGAAGTCTTACAGAAACACTTCCTTGCTAATGAGAACATTGGCCATCCTTGACACAATATGCCTGATGTCTAGACAGCGGAAAGAGTGTGTCAAAATGTGAAGATTGGATGTACTTCTTTTCAGCCTTTTCTTGCCCATAACCTTTAGATTCAGGCTTGAATGTAATCTAGAATCTCTCTTTTCCATTATACCACCTCCCTGGCCTTTCTAGGCATATAATCTTGCTGTAGAAAGTATAAAGTAAGTCCTGAAACACACACACACACACACACACACACACACACACACACACACACGTATATATTCTTTTCGGTAAAAAGACTGTCATTGTGGGCCAGGTCTGGTGGCTTATGTCTGTAATCCCAACACGTTGGGAGGCTGAGGCAGGAGGATCGTTTTTGTAGAGACAAGGTCTCTCTATGTTGCCCAGGCTGGTCTCTACAAAAAGTTTAAAAATTATCTAGTGGCGCATGTCTGTAGTCCCAGCTACTAGGAGGATCGCTTGAGCCCAGGAGGTCGAGGCTACAGTGAGCTCTGATCGTGCCACTGCACTCTAGCCAGGATGACAGAGACCCCATCACACACACACACACACACACACACACACACACACACACACACACACACACACACGACTGTCACTGTGACCGACGTTAGCATAGCAGCTTTCTGGTATCTTCTTTCACTTACACTCTGTGGTCATTCTGGATCCCAGTCATGGCCTGCAATACCTCTTCTGTTGCCGTTTCCTCAGTATCACAGGTACCTGTTTTTCCGGAATTTATTTAAAATGTCACTTTGTAGTGTTCCCTCTCTAGGGCTGCTTTGTTTCATTTCCCTCTGAATGAGTGCTGCCACAGAGTCATTACTTCTCTGCTCTGAACAGAAGGAATAGCAGGGCACACAGTGAATCCTTGGTTTTTTGTAGACAGAGACCTTCAGCCTTTTTGGGGGAAAGACCCATCTTATCTTCTGAAGAGACTTAGCTGCTGAAACACTTCCTTTTTTAAGACCCATTTGTATTTGCTCTCCTGTCATGGGATGGAGAGGAAGGCTGATGACATGTGCCTGGCACTGTGTTAACTCCCTTACTGAGTTCTTTCATTTAATTCACATGACAGGAAGTTCTGGGAGGTTAGGGAATTTGTTTTATACATCATTGTATCTCTATGCTTAGCATAGTACCTGGTACTTAGTAGATTCTCAATATTTGTTAATTGTATCAATGGAAATGATTGAGAAAAATGAGACCTAGAGAAGTGAATTAAATTTTCCAAAGTTACCAGGCACTGCAGAGACGAATTGAGATTCCTACTCAGATGTGACTGATTTCAGAATCTTCCCGTTTAACCACTGTTATGAATGAAATCGTGGCTCTCAAATGTGCTGTATTAGGTTCTATCAGCAAAGTAGAAACTACATAAGTTATTTCAACAGCTAATTTCATAAAAGAAATCAATATGATGAATATTGGAGGGCAGAATAAATCAACAGAGAACATGGGGCGGGGGCACAGGAAACAGCCACCATTCTCAGGGTTGGGAGAGCACAAGGAAGAAGCTGGGCTTATCACAACCCAGAAGCACAAGGAGGGCCTCAGAGCCAGAACCCAACCTGGAGGAGAGGGCACTGCCCTGCCAGTGCAGGTACCTCTCAGGAGGTGGGATGAGGTGGTTCTGGGACAAGCTGCTGCACCTACCTGGAGGGACACTGACAGGAGCAGGACTGAGCAGGTCCTACCTCCCTGCTCCAGCATTGCAGGATCCCTCTAGCGCCCTGCTGGTGTGACACAGAGCCAGACAACAAAGGGGAAGTGTGCTTGTAGAGTCCCCCCAGCCCCAGCATCATGGAGCTGAGAAACCAGAGTGTAACAGAGGCACACGTGTTAGAAAGTGCCCACGTTCTTGCTTACAAATGGACCTTTTCATTGGGATAATGGGCCTGTTTCCTATTTCCACAGGGTATAGGATCCTGATTAATCAGAGTTTCCAAGATGAACTCAAAGTACTGGAAATAATGTTCTACTAATAGTTTTCATGAGATAGTTATTACCATTATATACTGAAATAGATAGATACAAACTCATGGGAAAGCCTTGTTCTGTGTGATCCAATAATAAAATCAATTAGCATTGCTACTTAATTATCAACGTGTCAGACAAATGAGCATACCAAACAGAATGTTATGGGCAGAAGAAATTGAATTGGAAACAAAACCTGGGGCTGCTGAGATGTTTAGGCCTCTTAGTTTTAGGGCTGCCTGCCCACTTCAGTGGCTTGTCTCCTCTACTCACCCTCTACCTTTGCATTGCAGGTTCTTGATGATGGGAAAGGAGTCTGTGAATTTGGGCTAGCAGAAAGGATTTTGCTTGGCATTAGAAAAAAAAAGATGGACAGCTTCTTATTTCCTCTCCGAAAATCACTGTCTTTCCTGGCCCTGATAGAGACCTTTTAAAGAAAGGCCTTGGTATGGACTGGGTGCAGATAGTCAGAACTCTGTATGCTCTATTAAGGAAACTCCAGGGCCACACACAGGCCCTGTGACCAATCTAATAGAACCTAAACTCCAAAGGTGAAGATGAAATATATATACATAGGGGGAGTGGTGGCTTGCACTGGTAATCCCAGCTACTCTGGAGGCCAAAGCAGGAGGCTCACTTGAGCCCAGAATTTGAGACCAGCCTAGGTAACATAGTGAGACCCCAACTCTAAAAAAATTTTTGTTTTAAATTAGCTGGGTGTAGTGGCATGCATCTACAGTTCTAGCTACTTGCGGGCAGGGCTGAGGCAGAAGGATTGCTTGAGCCCAGGAGGTCGAGGCTGCAGTGAGCTGTGATTGTATCACTGTACTCCAGCCTGGGTTACAGAGTGAGATCCTGTCTCTTAAAAAAAAAAAAAAAAGGAAAGAAAGAAAGAAATCTGCATACACAAGAAGCCTCAGTGCTCAGTGCAGGGAGTCAGTAATGATAGAATAAAGGTTCAAAATTAGAGATCTGCACAGTGCCTTGCCAGTCTCTCTATACTTCAACCTTTCTCTGTAGGATGTTGGTCCAGCAGTGTGCCGTATGCTGTCATTGTGGTTTCCAGTCCCATCTCCTCCATTTCCTCCACTGTGGACATTTTTACTGCTAGCAAACCAGGTATCACCTACTGTGTTTGCCCTACTTGGTTAACTCCAAGTGGCTGTGAGTAGGTGAGGGCCTAGGCCAGCAGGGATAGAAGAGCCATTACTGGAAAACCTTTCCATGTCAGAAAACCCCAAAGAGAGGGCAGCAGGGGAGACAGAACTTGTCTGTGCCATGGGGGGAAAAAGGGGAATCTGAGTGTTTGGAATCAGATAGGATGAATTCCTTACTCCTCTGATTGCTTCTTGTGTGACCTTGGGTGAATCACATGGTTTTTTTTGTATGAGTTTTCTCCTCTATAGATCTGTAGAATACAGATGACATTTGCCTTACAGAATTGATCTTATGATTGAAAATTTTCATGTACTTTATTTTTTTATTTTTAATTTTTTGTGGATACATAGCAGATGTGTGTATTTATGGGATACATGAAATATTTTGATACAGGCATGTAATGCTTAATAATCACATGAGGGTAAATGGGTTATCCATCACCTAAAGCATTTATTCTTTCTTTGTGTCTCAGACAGTGCAATTTTACTCTTTTAGTTATTTTTAAATGTTCAATAAATTATTGTTGCTGTAGTCACCCTGTTAGCTATCAAATACATCTTATTCATTCTAACTATATTTTCATACCCATTATCATACCCCCCACCACTGTCCTTCCTAGCTTCTGATAACCACCATTCTACTCTCTATCTCCATGAGTTCAGTTATTTTAATTTTTAGTACAAGTAAGTGAGAATGCACAGTTTGTCTTTCTGTGCATGTCTTATTTCACTTAACGTAATGTCCTCCAGCTTCATCTGTGTTGTTGCAAATGACAGGATTTCATTCTTTTTTGTCTGAATAGTACTCCATTGTGTATATGTACCACAGTTTCTT